TGTGTGTGTGTGTGTGTGTGTGTGTGTGTGTGTGTGTGTGTGTGTGTGTCTGTGTGTGTGTGTGTATGTGTGTGTGTGTGTGTGTGTGTGTGTGTGTGTGTGTGTGTGTGTGTGTGTGTGTGTGTGTGTGTGTGTGTGTGTGTGTGTGTGTGACATAGACTCAAGCATAGTCCCCTTGATGAGCAAACAAGAATATGAAAAAAGGGGAATATGAAGGATAAAAGAAAAAAAAATAGTATAAGAAAAGGCGCACAATCACTCGCAAGCTCTGACGCGTTTGGCGACCAGGTACATATAAAGCAGGCAACACACTATGAAGAGAATGTTCATTATTGTTAATAGCCTTGAAAATAAAGTCACAGTCCTAACTATTCGATGATGTCCAAGTCACATATTAAGGTTAGTTAACGAAAACTTGATAAAGTTAACAGAACGGTCCAGAAGCTTTAAATGAGCCTGAGAAGCCGACATCCAAACTGGACAGCAATATTAAAAGAAAGGCAAAATAAAGGAGAAAAAAAAGTTATCTTATCATCGTTGAAAATTAATCTACATCTACTCAATAATCCAGCTTTCTGGGAAGTAAGAGGACAGTTACTCTTATGATAATCAAAAGTCAACCTAGAATTACACCAAGTGGTTTTAAAAGTTAAAGTTGAAAATAAGTGGCCCAAGAACAATGCCTTAGGGAACTCCTGAGTTGACATAATTAAAGACACTAAAATACCTATCAACAGCAACACGTTGTCGCCTGTCTAATAAAAGGTCAGATAAAATATTATACAATGGGCCACTAATTCCTACAGACTTTAATTTGACGGGGGACTACATCAGGTCCAGTAATAGGAAGAATATCGGAAACACGGCCAAACAAAGCATACTTCAAATTTATTATAATTTATTTCTGTAGCTCTATAGACCTGTTCAGCAGTTCTACAAGTGTGACAGTAATTATCCAAAGAAATATTATAACGAGTTGAGGACCATAATCTATAAGAGGTTTGCTTATTCCCCAATGCCTCTCTGCATACAAATCCATAATTTGTCATTGGAGCGTGACTTGACACTCTCAGAAGGAACCCTACTGCCAATAATGTCAGAGAGTTTGGAGGTATAACAAGATATAACACAGGGCAATCTACCCTGTAAATATCCCTCAAATTAATGGGATATATATATATATATATTTAACGTGGTCTTCATTGATGCGTGATTTTAGGTAGACCTTATGGCAAAGAAAAATATGAGCTGAACCGTTGCGCCTATAGAACTGTGATCAGAGGATCCAAATGGTGCACGAACATTGACATTAAGAAGACCAGATATATCGGTGAAAAGTAGATGAAGACAATTTCCTGAGACATGGGTGGGAGCTTCAACGAGTTGTTCGCAACCAGAGAGACAAGAGAAGTCATAGGCATGCATGTCCATGACAGTCTGTTGGCGATATGGAATTGAGCCTTTGTTAATGGTGAGCATTAAAAGCAGCAATAAACATAAATGATGCCTTCCTATCTAACTCCTGAGTCTTTGCCATAGAAAGCAATAGACAATCATATATACTCATCTAAATCAGGGTATCTGTAAAGAGCGAATAAGGATAAATCTAAATAGTTTGAGCAAATTTTCAGTGACATGGTATTCACCATTCAAATAACGAGAGCCACTAAATCCAGAACTCTAGGAATACTATTCCTTCTTAATCAGAAGGGCCAGGAATAAGTAACAAGTGTTTCCGAGTAACACAAT